CATAATGAAGGTACATAGAGTTCATCAGTACCAGATCCAGAAAGCATAGATTTCTTCACCTTATTATTTTCACGCTTGAAAGTTGTTCGTAAAATATTAATTTTTTTTTTAACATCTTCTTCAGTGATGTTCCCGCGAGACACTTTCAATAACTCCGTCATTTTTTTGATCGCATTCATTCTCTTGTGTTTATCCATATAGTCTTTTGATTTTATTCTCCACAGCATCGGCATGTCGCGATATACGGAGATAAATTCCAAAAGACATTCTTTTTCTGACATGTTGCCGTTATTGATTGTCGCAGTTGTGTTCTCCATGGTATCAAGGCAATAACTGAGATCTTATTTGACAAACACCATTGCACACTATCAAACAGGTTTGCCAAACACACCGTCAATCAAAATTTCCATCAAACAGGTCAAACATTTACATTGTTTGACAAACACGTCAAACAAGCTCGCACACTTTCAAAAAATTTGACAAACACGTTTGTCAAACGAATATTTGACAAATAATTTGATCGTTTACAGGGCCCTTAACGTCACTTAGACAAGACAAAATGACGTAATCCATCTTGATTTTATTCTGGTTGAAGCCTGGCTCCCTTCCCCTTTGAACTGATGTTTGCCAGAAAGGAAAAAATGAGAAAAACCAAGAGCGTACTTTATAAAAATAGCTGCGTGAACGCAAGCGAAACATAAGTGGTACCACCTATTGGTGTGATACTCAAGTCAACTTGCCAAGTTTTTATAAGGTTAATGCAGTCAAGCTGCTGGAAAATAATTCAGCCGGTTGGCTGAAACAGTCGGCTGCTCTTAAATTGAAATCAATGTGGGAATGATCAAAGAGTAGGGGAAGTACGTCCAAAATGACATATACGGACAAAACGACACATTGGTATATTTAAAAAACTGCGCGGTATAAACTGTCAAAAGTTAGCCAATCAAGAAGCACCTACACCGGAAATATACCATTGGACTTTTGAGAGCCGTTTAAAATACAGAACGGACGCCATGTTGACATTTGTGTTTTGAGGTTGGAAAGAAATTTGTTAGTGGTCATTTGTTTTTTGTTTTTCGGTAAGTTTTCTTTTGTTATTTTACTGTCCTATAATTTTATATTTCGAAGCATTTTGTTTTTGAGGTGATCGCGTAGAATTTAAAACATTATTGTCACTGCAACAAGATTATTCTTCGAATCGTAATATTTTTTGGGGCTATGTACAAAATGACATACAACCACTATGGACAAAACGACATGTGTCATTTTGTCCGTAGAGAAGAATTTGTTTTAAGTAAATCTACGTAAATCTTTTTAATTTACAGAATGGCAATATGCCCCGAAATTATAAGAGGACAAGTAATCGGCAATCATGGAGTCAAGAAGCGATGACAAAAGCTATTGAAGCTGTTAAAGAGAAAAAAATGGGTTGGCTTCTGGCTCCTAAGACCTTCAAAGTGCCACAAGCTACACTAAGGCGGCATGCCTTGGAACAAAATAAAACAGTTGCACCTGCAGCAAAAGGTTCAGACCGATTTCAGCTAAAATTTCCTCTTGAAATTGAGAGACAATTGGTTGAGCACATCAAGCTACTTGAAACTCGCATGTTTGGATTAACGCATACAAAGGTCCAAGAACTCGCTTTCGAATTGGCTGAAAAAAATGGCTTTTCACACAGTTTTAATAAAGATAAGGGAAAGCTGGCCAGGAGTGGCTAGATGGATTTTTAAAACGCCATAAAGACATATCTTAACGAAAACCGGAGCCTACCTCCGCAGCCAGAGCCCAAGCTTTTAATAGACCTCAAGTAAGAAAGTTTTTCGATAACTATCAAGAATACATAGACGAACACAAATTAAACGCAAACCGGATCTACAATGTGGACGAATCGGGGCTGTCTACTGTCCAAAGACCTCAAANTATATATATATTTCAGGGGAAAAAGGTAAGAATCTTACAAAGAAAGGAATTTTCAAAAAGAGACATACAAAGGTGTGTAGTTCGTGCACAAACTGAAAGGCCTCTCGGAACAACTACTTTCAAATAAACATTAAATCACACGAAAGAAAAATACTGTCGAAACGACAGATTATACTTCAAACAGTTCAATATGCTAATATCACTGAATTGAATTTCTTACCAATTGCAGAACAAATACTCGAAAATAACAATTATACATTGTGTTTGCTATCCAGTCAAAGGGGATTTGTTCATTCGTAACATGAGCGTCTGTTGTAAGTGTCAACATCGACCAATGCAATGGTTAGTTTTATGAACTTCAGCTGTTATTCAATTCACTAAATATACACCCGAGGCTTGATCATTCCATGCCTTCCACCAACATGGAAATTCAAGTCGAATTCGACGTCGAAAACCAACCGCTATCTATGTATATTCCCAATTGGAAAAGTTTTTTAATTCTGATGGATTTAATATGGAGAGTGTCTGACACACCGATCCCTCGGTATCAAAAGCGTAGCAAAGTTCCGAAACATTTAGACACCCTTCAAACTTTTTTGCTTCGAAGATGTAATGAGAGCATTTCAATTCGAAAGTCATCGTAAAAATATTATAAGCTTATGCACGACTTTTTGAAACTTGAACAACCCAGGGGAGAGTGTGTATGAAAGAGCCAGTTTTGGAAAACATCAAAAAAAGTTAACGTCAGGTGATGGTTATTGAATAAAATTGCTTTTTGTAAATAATTAGTTTAATAGTCATGGTTATCCAATCAAAATAAAATGAGTTACAATGACAGAAATTAGTAATATGGCAACTTAAAAAAAAGGGAAATCGGCTCTTTCAAAGCAACATGTGTATGGAAGAGCCGGGTTCTAGTCTTTCAGCAAATAAAAATTACTCAATAAACTATTGCTCCATTCTTCCAATATTTGCTTTTATAGATGAATATCAAAGTTACTGTAGGGTGTTACGTTCTGAAATGTGTTTTGGGGATGGTTGTCTCAACTTGACGGGGGCTGATAGTCAAATGTGACAACCAACACCATATATATACTTGTGAGGCATTGTTTGAAACCTTTGGTGTAGTAATTAGTAGGAGGAAGATTTTCCTCTTGAAGATTATCACTTGGTGATCGAAACACGCGTCGAAGTGTTAAAATATTGGTTTTGTGTTGGGATATTTACCAACGTGTGAAACTAGTCTGATCGACTAGTTTCACACGCAGTGATAATGCGTGCTGCAAATGAATTGATTTTGGGATCGAATATTATCGTACTCTGACACGATTTTGTAAAAATTTCACTTTGGAAGAGATAAGCAACACGGTGTTATCAATACCATCAACAAAAATTGGTAATCAAAAGTAATCTTAACCGACAAATAAAAGAAAGAGTAGGGAAAATACATACTTATGACTTCAAGTATTGATTACGTTTCGTCTCCCAAGAATATTGAAAGAATAGCGTTTTTGTTTTTTCAGGACCTTGGGAGCTGTCTGACTTGTCCATTTAGTCCAAGTCTTCAGAAAACACTGCATCCTTTTAGGCTTATTGCGTTTATTCTCCCATCTTCTCATGACACCCATTCCATCAGTCTCGTTCTCTGTACTAGTTTCTACAGGTTCCGTGTTGGATATTCGTCATATTCTTCTGGACGTAATTTTGTACGTCCATATATTATTGTCTGCCTCCTGTGATTCGGTGCCTCACATTAGCATAAGATGTGTAGAGCTGTTTCTATCCCTTTGTTGCATAATCTGCAGCTGAGGTCTCCGTTGTACAGCCCCATTTTATTCAGGTGTCCTCTAAGCGAACAATGACCGATTAGTAACCCTGTAATTATTCTGAGTCGATCGCTACTATATTCAAGTAGTTCTTCGGTTCTTTTCTCGGACGGTTCCCTAATGAAGGTTCTACTGTGTTCGCTGCCAGATACTTTTGTCCAGTATTCTGTGTGCTTCTTACTGGTCCATGTCCTAATCTGGTTTCGTACCAATGATTTTGGTACCCCCAGAGCTGGTACAGAACCTATATATGAAGTTGATGATCCGTATCTAGCGCATTCATCAACTTTATCATTACCTGTGATTCCTGAAAGCTCTGGCACCCAGTACAAAGTTAATTTGTTTCTGTTTTCATGTTCATTCAGTTCTTCATGGCATTCCCATACTAGTTTTGATGTCACCTTCGGGCCCCTAGTGTGCTCTTGCTGTCTGTTAAAATATTGATCCGCTCATTTCTTTGAGCGGATTTCTGAAAGACGGATGTGTATAGTCCTAGCGGATAACTGTAGTTTAAATTTCTATCCGCTCAGTATATTCCAGCTCCCGTTCCATATTTGGTCTTCAATCCATCTGTATACCAGGTGTTTTTTCCAAACATGTTTTCGCGATGACTAATGGTCGTCCAAGGATAGTGTTACATTTGCCAGTTTACTTTTGCCATACCAGGCTACCAAGTTACATTTGCCATAATAGTGATTTCGAATATTCACTGAATTCTAGACTGACTGTATATGATTTCGCCAAGTTGGGTATTTTAGCTTACAAGCAGTGGATTCATATTTTCGGTATTTAAGTTACCAGTTATTTATTTAGAGCAATTTTTTTTTCAGGCACTTTTCTTCTCTTGGATATAATTAATTACATATATTTTCCTCCTTTCAATGAAAATATTCATTTGAATATTTTTTCATACCCTTCAATCAACTATGTGACTACCTGCCCCAGATATTGTGACAAACATCCTTGGCACGGGGTAAAAAGTCACACATTTTCTCTTCCATAATAATTGTTATATTTTCTCTATGAATGATGTTGGAGAAAAAAATTATATTCCTTTTCAAAACAGTATAAAAACATTATTATTGATATTGAAAATGTCATTTATAATTTAGAAAAAAGGACATTAAAAAGGCAAAAGATGAAAAATGTGACTTCCAACCCCGGTCTCCCCTACACATAGCGTTCCCAGTCCTTCTTCCGTAGGGACAAAAAACTCTGAATTCATAGTAGAGTGTTCATATACTTTTTTTACAGGGTTCCAATACATAAAAAAATCGTGATCGTAGGAGCTGGAATGGCGGGTTTGGGAGCTGCATATGAACTTACAAAGTTACACTTCGATGACTTTCTTGTGATAGAAGCTCAAGAGCAACCAGGAGGAAGGGTTCGTGCCATAACCGTAGACGGTAAACCACTTGATCTGGGAGCTCAATGGTTGCATGGAAAAGAAAACCCCCTTTACGATTTAGCTTTGAAGCATAATCTCCTAACCGAGATCATATCCGAGGAGGGTTCGGGAAAGTATGTACGAAACGATGGTGTCGTTTTCGATGAAGATTTAGTAGACGAAGTTGAAACGGAAGTGGAAAGAATTATAGAGGAATGTGTTGCTTTCCTGCACGAAGAGATATTTCCTAATTCTCTCGGAGACTTTCTCTTTCAAAAGTTCGCCGAATACCTGGAAAGTTGTGATGACAGCGATGAGGAACGAGAAATGAAGCTCCAGCTTTTCGACTGGCATGTGCGATATCAAATGATTGATAATTCTTGCGAGAGTTTATACAAACTATCGGCAAAGTGGTGGGGGACGTATCTCTGTGACGACAATTCCGCCCTTTCTAATCTGAAGAATGGATTCGGATCTATAGTAAATGTCATCGTCGATCAGATTCCTCGAGATAATATTGTGTACAACACCTGTTTGCGAAATGTCCGGCTCGAAGGACCGCTAATAAAACTCACCTGTGATAACCGAACGGTAACATGTGATCACCTCATCCTAACTCCTTCCTTGGGGGTTTTGAAAGACTTTAACGGGCTTGACACCGTTCTAACCCAATCCCATAACGACGCCATCACCAATATGGGCTTTCATTCCATAGGTAAAATATTCTTGTTCTTCAACGAGAAGTGGTGGGATGACGTCATGGGCTTTCAGTTGCTGTGGGGTCCTGAAGAAGGACTTGAGGAGAATGAGAGATGGGTTAGAAATATATCCGGCTTCGACGTGATTCATGGTCATCCCAACTGTTTACTTGGGTGGCTTGGAGGCAGCGCAGTGCGGGTTATGGAAACACTGAGTGAACAAGAAGTTGGAGCAATTTGTGTGAAGGTTTTGAGAAAATTTTTGGTTGACTATCAAGTTCCGGATCCTTCTAAAGTCTTCAGGTAAGGTCATATAGAATACTTCTGTAATTTTGTTTATCGTTAGTTTCAGTGTTAGTTTCAGTTATGTAGACAACATTGTAAAATATCGACATTAAAATTATATCGGGGTGGAGATTGGAGTTCTAATAATAATACCTCATTTGTTTTTTCAAAAATTCAAAATACATATTGGAATAGTGAACAACAAATACTGAAGATCCAAAAATTCATTCAATGTATTATCAGTCAAGTAAGCCTCCAGTTTCAAATGACGCTACATCAACAGATTTACAAATTTCTTTTGGAAGCACATTGAAACTGTTTTGGCCCAGTAGGTGAGTACCTTTAGACGGAACAACATATTTACATTGAGGAACATATAAAATTGGTACGGTTTCTTGTATTATAGGAATGAATTTCCTCATTAGTACTAAACTTTCGTTTGAATTTCACTAGTTCAGACTTCCATTGTCTAATGTGATTGAAATATGTTCTAAAATCTGTGAAGAAACAAATAAAATTGGAAGGAAAAACAAAAAATATCAATTATATTGACAAATAAAACTTGAAATGAATTTACAATGAAATGAAAATAGGGAAATGATAAAAAACTAACACTAAACAAGGAAAAACTTCATCTACTTGAAGAATAGGTATTTTGTCAGATTACTAGAGGCAATCGAAGTCACGGCCATTGAAGAGGCCCAGAGTCTGATTGAGATACGTTAACGACCTCTTCATAGCAAGAAACAATGGAAATACAGAACTAGACACCTTTCTAAAGCACATCAGTAACGTAAAACCTACCATCACCTTCACAATGGAGAAGGAGATCCATAAGACCGACACTGAGTGGGAAACATCTGTACATCGAAAACCCACTCACACAGGACAATATCTTGATCAGGAATCTAACCACCCTCGATCAACAGAAGAGGAATTATCAAGGCTTTAGTGGATAGTGTTTTTGGGGCCTGTAATACGAAGGGAGGTCTCGAAAAGGAACTAGGCACCATCAAAAAAATCTTCAACGAAATTGAGGTTGAGTGGAAGAACAACTCAGTAGCACTTGTGCTAACTAAGTTGAACTTCGCCTTTCGTTATGTCAGCAACTAGCTCTCTAATTTATTTAAATATTTGTATGTAACTACAGCTGGGTAACAATAAAGACAATTATTATTATTATTATTATTAAATGGTTACTTCAAAGTGATGGTTTAACAGACTTTGGCTAGAAGACAGCAGGAGGAAGAGAAGCCTTCACAACTAGTACTTGTACTTCCCTACATCAGAGAATTGTCGGAAAGAATAAGAAGAATCGGGTTCATGTACATCATCAGAACCTGTTTCAGAAACAGGTTCCGGAAACACTATCCGTGGCAGCCTTAGTAAAACCTGGCCACCAAACGCGAACTGCAATTCCACGAAATATATTTACTCGATACCTTGTGAGTGCGGCAAATCCTATATCGGTGAAACTAAGAGGTTATTTAAAGTTCGCATTGCCGAGCACAAGAGAAGCACAGTGAGGAGACACCAGCAAATGGGGAGTAGTAGAGCAAGTTTGGGCTCATCAACATAACATCAAGTGGTGCCAAGCTGGGACCATCCACAGGGAGGAACACTGGTTTGAGAGGAAGTTCAAAGAAGCTGCATATATGTTGTCAATGACGGATGTAGTCAAACTAGCGTAGAGATACGCAACATATGGAAACCACTAATCAAGCAGAAAACAGTCAACTCCCGGTGAAGCGAAGTAATAGGTGTCGTCACCTGAAGACGATTGTGGATACTAACAATAGAAACGTCGTGGAATAGTTTGCTTATTTTTATTCCATTTCACGTTTTATTGCTTAGTATAATTGATATTTTCAGCTATTCACTTTATTTTATTATTCTTTCATAGATTTCAATTCACATCAGACAATGCAAGTCCGAACTAGAAGAATTCACCAAGAAACAGTGTCAATGCCTTTCAAACATACACAGACTTTTCGAAAATGAAAATTCTACTAAGTATCGAAATTCGGAGATTTAAAAAAATTAGTCTGCTGAAATTTCTGCTAAAAATATCAAAAATAATCCTCAATACATGTTTTTGCACAATATTGTATATCAATATAATATAACCCACGTACAGGTTTATCCTTATGTGGAAACTATATTCATTTGTCGTTAACTAAGATTATTGTATATTTAAAATTGAATGGCAACAAAAAAATATTATTATGAAAAATAATATATATACAGGGTGTATATATACGATCCTCACCACTGGTATCTCGGAAACTATGAGTAACACGAAGATGGTTAAATTGGGGTAAGGTTGCGCATTTATCTGACTAACAATATGTCGTTGACGAAGTCCTGAAATTTCAAGTATATCCGGAGATATTCATAAAAATCAGAAATTTCGGAAAATTGTTTTTATTTTTTTTCTAGCTGTATTTTCCGAACGATTCGAAAATAAATTGCACTTCCACATTACCACTTCTACCCTGCTACGTAATGGTGTGTTCAGATTTGCTATCCGACGTTTCATCTTCCAGCCACAATCATTAACTTTATTTTTTATAGGCACTACATTGGATTCTTTCTGTTTTGAATAGAACCAGATTTTACCTTTTCAATGATGTTACACTCAATGACATTTTGTTATTGTACAAGTCATTGAATTTTTGGCGAAAAATGGCTTTCACGAATGAAGAAAAAAGAGAAATGATACAAATTTGTTTGTAATAATTACGATAGAAACAGTGTTAGGACATCGGAAATGTATTTAAACTTGTATCCCAAAGATGACAACCAAATCGAACTATGTTCAAGCTCTTGGATCAAAATCTCACCGAAATTGGTTCATTTGAAGAGCCGAGAAAAAAATACGGAGACTGAATGGACTAGAAAACTAAGGGAAATTTGATAAATGAGGTATGTATGAGGTGAGTTAGACATTGTGTCCTTTCCAATAAAAATTAATAAATTGCAGATGAATTTGAACCCGGGGAAATCTACACGTCAAATTTCCTCCAAAATGGATACAAGTTTGAAAATTTGTCTGTTTAAAATCTGTTTTTCCGTTAATCAGCTGTCGCCCCCATACGAACGACAACTCTCAGAAGTTGTGCGAGCTAAGAACTAACGAGGTCTCACCTTTTACGTGTGATTCCTAATACGGTTGCAGATTCATTCCAGCTTCAACCAGATAAATTCTCTCGAGAAAAATATCTGGTCGAGGCGGGAATTGAATCCACGGTCTTCCGATCGAGAATCGGGCGCACTACCACCGCGGAGACATCTCAAAAAACGGTTTAAAATGTTACAAAATACACATATCTCAAAAATTGCACCCAGGTGAACCCGAAAGACGATCAGAATTTTGTGATTGGCTAATGAGAAGATTTGATTTTTCTGTTTTCCTGGAAAATGTAATTTGGACAGATGAAAGCACTTTTACGAATTGTGGGATATTCAACCACAATAACGAACACATTTGGAGCATAAACAACCACAGGCAGTTCCGAGAAATTCTACCTCAAGTGCGATTTAATATTAATGTTTGGGTAGGAATTTGCAAAGAAAGGATTTTGGGGCCTCATTTGTTTGACGAAATTCATCATTTCCAGTTTTTAATGTCGATTTTCGAAGACTATTTGGATGATCTACTTTTGGCTCACTATAACAACATCTGATTTCAACATTTTTTTCTTATCAGTCAGTGGGGTATGCTTGAAAACTGGCAGTGAACAAATCTAAAGAAATGAACTTCAAACATTCAAGCCAGTCTCGAATATACCTACACAGTAGGTTAAATGGACTGACGTCTATCATAAAACAACTACTCCCCTGGCTAATACCTCGAAGGGCGTTGGATTATATCCGACAGGCGTCAGTGCAGGAATCTTCACAGAAAATTTCCTGCATATGCAATTGGCAATACAACTGAAAGAGTCGACCTTCAATTTTGGAACGGGCACCCTTGCACACCGGCGTCAGGCTCATTAGCCACTAATCAGTGCAAAATAGTGACCATCATCGACCTAAAGTCAATGATATTCCATAATTAAAAATCGAAATTCTTTCAGAGTATTTCATTCCTCTTCCTAAGTTGGAGCGAAACAACAAAATGTCACTCCATCTAGTGTACGAGGTACTAACCAACTGCATATCCGTAATTTGCCTGATTCATTTCAGTTCATTTCACTGCATTTGCTGTAATTTACTTTCGTCTTTACATTTCAGGTAATTATTGTTATTTGTTCAAAGTTCATTGAAAAGGGTATAATGTCTGATTTACCTCATGTATCAAATTTTGACTATTGATTCTGTCTCCATATTTTTTCAATGGATTTTGAAACGAACCAATCTCGGTGAGAATGAACTTGAAAATAGTTCGATGTGGTTGTCGTCTTTAGCGCCCATGAGAAAAAATAAAGGTGATGATGGTGGTCGGAAGATGAAACGTCGGATAGCCAATCTGAAAACACCATTATGTAGTAGGAAAAAAGTTGCGATGTGGAAGTCTAATTCATTTTCGAATCTTTCGAAAACTAAAGCCAGAACAAATGAAAACCATTCTCTGAAATTTCTGTTTTCTCAGAACTGTCTCAACGGCATATTGTTAGTCAGGTAAATGAGCAACTCTGCCTCAATTCAACCATCTTCGTATCTCTCTTAGTTTCCGAGACTGCATTGGTGAGGATCGAATCTGAAACACCCTGTACATCGGGTGCTCGAGTCAACACCCCCAAAAGCACACTCCATAACGCAACCATGGGACAACTTGAAAATGGTACCTACATAATTTGAACCTTCCTCTTCATTAAACAAACTCTTACCGTAACCAAAGGCCCCGGTATATTTGTGAAACGAAAGCCTTCACCTTGAATGAAGAATCGATGACTGTATTCCTCGACTAATTTCATTTTGACGTGTCAGAGACACTTTCCAATCCCATCTTTATTGGAGCCACAAAAACACTATTATACGTCCTATAATTTTCCTCTTGCAGGCCTTTTATTGAC